TCTTCACTTCCTCTGGAGTCGAGGACTTGCGCACCCTCAGATCACTGAACTCCGTGATGACGTCATCAGGAGCCACTGCACAGAAGCTGTTCTGTGGAAGCTGAAGGCAGAGCCGCCGAGAGCCAGGGCACAGGACACCAGGATCCCACTGAATCTAACTCTGCATTTCTCCACCCTGTCATCGTAGGTCCCCGTGTCCTCTGCTGTCCCCTTGATGTGGGAGAGATTGGGTACAAGGGAGAGGCCACAAGCCCAAGGCAACTGAATTCCGCCCGCGGTGGCCACTCTGGTGCTGTGTGAAGGTCTTGGGCCTGAAGCTACCTCTAGCAGCCTTAGGGGACAAATATCCACCGCTGGGTGGGAAAGGTTTGCTGCAGGTGGCAGCCAGGCGGCTCCAAGTGACTGAGAGCATCTGGCTGGGGCGACTCCTTAGTGTTGCACAAATGCTTTGAGCCCAAGACCTGACTCCAGCAGCCCTCTGAAGGACCTCATATCAACTATATGCTAAACTCTTATGGTTTTATACCACGTGGACAGTAAAAAGCATCTATACCAAGGGTTTTGTTGGCTTGAAAAGAGACTACTGTTTCTCTTCCCCAATTTTCCCTTCCCTTACACACTCAGCAAACTTCACAAATCAGGAAGGAAAAAACAAACAAACAAAAAAACCTGACCTGATTTTGAGGTTTGCATTTGTCTGGGTCTTTTGTTAGCACAGTCAGTTATTTAAACTTTGATGTACTGACAGGAAATTAAGTCTAAAACATTGATTCATTCTTACCTAGCAAAATAATTTTCTTGTATTTGTTACTTAGAGAAACTGTTTTTTTTTTTTTTTTTTTTTTTGGAGGGGGACACCAGTGATTGAACTCAGGGGCACTGAACCACATCCCCAGGCCTATTTTGTATTTTACTTATAGACAGGATCTCGAAGAGTTGCTTAGTGCCTTGCTAAGTTGCTCAGGCTGGCTTTGAACTCACGATTCTCCTGTCTCAGACTCCCTAGTTACTGGGATTACAGGCATGTGCCACTGCTCCCAGCGGGAAATTAACTCTTGAAGAAACTAGGGTTTGCACCTGTTTTAAAGTCTTATATGATTACTTTATAATTGGTTAAACAAATAGTTGTCATTTAAATTATAACAATATAGTTGACACACAAAAAAAATGCGACTAGGTATATGTATACATCTGAGAACTACATCTGTTTAAGCCTATGTGTCATGTGAAAGTTTATGTAAATACACCAGCAAGATAACCAATAACTGTTTTCTTTTATACATGGCCATGAAGGACCATACTGTCTCTCTTTTTTAAACCTTTTATTTATATGTGATGCTGAGGATCGAAATCAGGGGCCCACACTTGCTAGGCAAGCGCTTTACCGCTGAGCCACAACCCCAGCCCCTAGAAATCTGTCTTATATCTGTTTACTTTGACTAAGTCAATTTCTGATCATTAACATTGTTTCCCAAATGTAAAAGAGATTTAAGGCGGGGCTGGGGATGTGGCTCAAGCAGTAGCGCCCTCGCCTGGCATGCGGTGCAGCCCGGGTGCAGCCCGGGTTCGATCCTCAGCACCACATACAAACAAAGAGATTTAAGGCTATCCTTTAATTTTTGTTAACTCATACAGACCCATGATTTTAACCATACACTCTAGATTCTAAATTGTACTTTAAAAGTTAACCTTAGTTAAATATAAAGCTTAAGAGAGTACTTTGCCACACTGGTGTTCTCCAAACTAAAATTATCTGTAGCAAGAATCTCACATTTGTGTACAAATAACACACTGAGTTAATATTTATTTGTCTCAGTTAATGTTTCATAGCTGGATAAATTAACCTATTATCAATAAGTTATACATACCATTTTGTCTTACTCTTCACACTGGAATTAGAATTTACATGCACGCTTAAAAGATAATAAGGAGAGCCTAATCTGTTTGGAGGTGATATTATAAAATATGAAAACATTTTCCCACTTATCCCCACAAAAGGGGAGTTAAAAGCGCTCTCAGCCTTTGAGTCATGTTTTAGATGTAATGTTATATTGTATTACCTAACATCCAGATAGACTCAAAAACCAATATGTGTAAACTTTGTAAAAATTATATTTAAGAAACAGGCAAAAATCAGGTTCAAAACTAGACCACTTTACCTAAAATTTATCAAGAGCCCCATCTTACTTGACATGAGGCTCTGCCTTCCACCTTATTACATGTTAAAATGGCTTCAAAACAGGCTGGCCTTCAGCTTATTTACAGTTATGTGTAGAAGTTTAATGTATTCTAAAGATTACTGTGATCTCAAACAGGTATATAATGCATAAGGCAGCTGAAGTTCAAGACAGCTATTACACAAACCAAACATGTTCTTACTCTTTTTAATTTCATTTTGTATTTTCCTTGTAAACTTTATAACTGTTACCTGTTAATGTTTTGTAGAGGTACTACTTAAAAAACACACAACCTAGATTAATTTAAGATAATAAGCCATCACCTGAGGTCAGATAAAATATAAGGCTAACTTCCAATACTAATACAGACTCCAAGTAAATATAAGGGGTAAAGTTACAAACATTAAGGTTAAAACTCTGTACTTTAAGACTGGTGGAGCTGGCTTGCTGGATGTTTAAGATCAAGATTTAAAACTTGAGCTTAAATAAAGGGGCCAAGAAAACCAATGTTTGGCTCTTATCTTCTGAGTCAGCCTAAACCCAAGGAATAAGAGAAGTTCTCCAAGGAGCTTTACTACTCTGGGCCACATGACCTCCTGATCAGGGAGATTAATGAGACCACTGGTAAATGGAAAGTTAATTAGTATACCTGCTGCAAAGAAGAAGATCATTCAAGAAGGGAAACATCCCTGATGATTCCAAGAGAAGCCACCTCATCAAGGAAACCCTACCTGGCAGATGGCACTAAAAGAGTTTAGAAGCTACTCTCAAGTTCCCCAAGATTGACCCCTTTGGGAACTTAGCTCTTTGTGTGTGTGTGTTTTGCTGGGGATTGAACCCAGGGTCTAGTGCTTGTGAGGCAACCACTCTATCAACTGAACTATGCCCCCCAGACCTTCAGTTCACTCTTAACAAACAGATAGGAACCAGGTCAATTTTTGACTAACTTGATCTTAAACACTTGGAAGGACAGTATAACCCAAACACAGCCACATATGGACATTTTAGAGGAAAAACAATAATTATTTTAAATAAAACTTAGAATGGGGCTGAGGCTGTGGCTCAGTGGTAGAGTGTTTGCCTCAAATAAAAGAGACACTGGTTTCAATTCTCAGCACTGCATATAAATAAAAAATAAAGGTCCATCAACAACTAAAATAAATAAAATTTAAAAGAGAAAAAAAACCTTAGAATGCATATTTATGTTTGTCCCACAACCCTGAATCCCCTAACTTCTGAGGTTTTCATCCTTTGCGAGTCTCATAAACTGGCTTGCATACCTTAATTTTCCTTACTTCTTAAACTGACACTTAAACCCAGAAAGTCTACCCATTCCCATAACACCACACATCAGACACAGGAGAGCCATTGGTCTAATATTGGCAAAGAAGGGAGGCACTTGTGTCTTTTTTAGGAGAGGAATGCTGTTAGAGCTCCAGGAGAGCATCCAGATGTTCCAGCAGGAGCAGCAGCAGCCTTTACCCTGGAATCTCTTCCCTGGCTACTCCCATTGAAGGACCTCCTCCTCACATAATCATGGAGCTCTCAGCATAGGATCTTATCTAAATAGGTGCCTAAAGAAATTTCTACAAGATCCAGTAAAGGCACTCACTAATCAGACTATAAACTAGCTCCTTATGAGCCAATATAGCCCCCTCCCCTGAAGATCTGTCCTAAACCATTCTTTGCCCCTATTGAGCTCAAATAAGCCAGGAGGAATGATACCCTTTATCATTATAAAATAGAAGGCTGAAGTGTTAGACCCCTGGACAGTAGTAACTCATTTTGGTTCTGAGCCTCAGAACTACCAAGAAAAAACTTAAGATTCCCTGTTCCCATAACATAAGATGCCAAGAAAAAGAAACTTAAAATGCCCTGTTCCCATAACGCCCCCCCAAAAGGTCCCTAAATACAAAAATCTGTTATTACCCAGCCACCCGCACCCAAAGTCATTTCTAGCTTGCTCTTGCTCCTTGTTAAAAAGTTACAAAACCCCTATTCAAATAAATGTGTTATGTTGTGCCACTCTACTGGACAGACGGGCGAGTTCTTCTTGTCAATAAACTTTGCATTTTGAGCGTGAGATTCTGTCTCCAGAGATTTCTTTGAGCACTGTCCTAACGAGTAGCACCATAAAGACATGTTATTAGTAGCAACACCTCATTGTACTGTTTGCATAGTTCATCAATGACATTTTACATATACTGCTTTAAAGACATCACAACCAACCTCACCTGTGACTTTCTCTCTTGTCTTTTGAATCATCTTGTTTTTGCTGGGCTGGAACCCAGGGCTTCGATTTGCCAGAAAAGCACTTGTACGGCTGAGCTGTGCCGGGTAGTTTCACCTGTTCCTTTGAACGTTTTCACGTGGCCTTCAGAAAAGTCAAAGGTACTTACTGAGCACTTCATTTCAGTTGAACGGGCCTCCTTTCCAGGGCTCAGGCCCATCCTGAACCCAGGGCAGGAAGGTCATGTGACTTAAGGTCTTAACACGCTCCTCCGTGGCTCCCGTGTGCACAGCACCGAATTCTACACACCGCCGTCCCCGTGGGTCCTGTTCAGACGCCGCGGGCTGCACCGGGTGCGCACAGGCGTTACCCGCGGGGTCAGGCCCCAGCCCGGGAGGAGGTGCTGCCTCAAAAGGGCTGGGCCTATTTCATCAGGGATTGGTTACGTTAGCTGTCCCTCAGGCGAGGGCGGGGCCTGGAGGCTGTCCCTCAGGGCGGCGCTTTCCAATCAGGCGCGCAGCCGGGGCAAGGGCGGGCTTCCGCAGTCTCGCGCTTTCCTCGCTCGGCCGCCAGGCTCCGCTCCTTCCTCCTCAGGTCGCATGTCTTGGGTACGGATTCCCGTCGCAGCCAGAGAGCCCCACGAGCTCGGGTGGCCGAAGTTCCTTCGTGAGGACGGCAGGTGACCCCGGAGGCCCAAATGGTGAGTGTGCGGCCAGGGACCTCCAGGGGCACAGGAATGGCGGGACCTGGCGTGCGGGTGAGCGACGGAGCGGGCCGAATCCCGGCCGGTGGGTGGCCCTTGTCCCCTGGTCCCGCAGGGTAGGCTGGGAGGAGGGTTCCCGGTCAGCTGCAGAGCGTGTTAATGAGCCCCCCTCGGCTGGCCCTGGTCTCCAGACCCTTGGTCCTTCGGGACGGACTGAGAGCGAGTCCCCGTGGTTCGCTGCGGAGGATGGCATTGTCCGCGCTGGCGGGTGGCTCTGGGCCCTGACCCCTGTCCCCGGGGTCTGTGGGGTCGGATGGGCCGCGGGTCCCCGAGATCAGCTGCAGAGCGTTCGACCTAGTCTCAGCTTGGGCGGTCTCCCTGACCTCTGTCCCATGGGTTAGCTGGGTTAGCAGGTCCCTGTCCTCTTTTTCTTCTCCCTGTTGGCGACGTCCCAGGTTCAGATCTGTGCAGCTTATGTGGCCTGATGCTCCCAGAGTGTGTGGTGAGAAGGGAAGGGTCTGGGTTCTGGACCCAGGTGTGTTCTGACTGTGACATTTGGCCTTAGGGGTTCCAGTCTGTCCCTCTTTTCTCCCCAGGATTAATCTGTGAGTCCTACAGACACATACTCCTAAATGTGCAGGGAACGGTATCAAATCCATTATCCATTCTGGAACCTGGCTCCTCCTAAGGCTGGCAGCAGACACCTGAAATTCCAGTTCCCTCTCGCATTCCCAGATGCCAACTGCACCCTCCAGTTCACACTTTACCAACCATTTGTTCCAGTCTACATTCAAATAGACAGTGTTTTAATTATCAAAAGTTTCACAACAATGGATAATTTAAATTTTAAATAATTTTTTAAATAATCTTTTTTAAATAATTTTTTTTTTTGAAAGGTGGGCAAACATTTCCCATGACTGGAAAGCAGACAGGAATGACCTGGAACTTGAGTTTAAAAAGTACTTATGCCTCTCGTCATCATGCCTAGGCACAGACACAGTCTCTCTGGGCAGAGGTGTTATTGGCCATTACACAGGATCCTGTGTCCTCAGCCACTGTCCTGTCCTTTGGTGGGGCTGCAACTAGGTGCCCACAGCTTCCCTGTGCCCTGCAGGGTGCAGGCAGTTTCAGACTCTGGGTCAGCTCCTCCTAGAGGGCAACCTGAGGTGTGGGGAGCAGCCTCCCAGGGGAGCAACTGGAGACACCCGGGTCAGGCAGTGAGATGCTGGTGTTGGGGGAACATGACACACATGGTTCCTGCCCTCTAGATGTGCTCAGAGCTGTGAAAGAAGAACAGTTATCCCTAAGAGCAGGGAAATCTGACCCCAGCAAGGTGGAGCAAAGCCCTACAAAGCTCTTCAGCAGCAGGAGGGGGTGGGAGGATGTGCCTGGTGACAGATGCCTGACCAAGCTGAGGTCTGACAGGTCAGTGTCCAGTGGTGCTGCAGCTCCCTGGGTTTGTTGCCTTGGAAAGACTTGCTCGCTTACTTAACTTCAGTTTTTCATTAGTTGTAAAATGTAATTTAATGCTAGAGCTGAAAGATTAGAGATTACTAAAGGACAAGATAGAATTATAAGTCAGGGTAAAAAACCAGATTTTAAAAAAAAGGAAACATTTGGTCTTATATTTCATTATTTAAAGATTCTTATGTACTGTTTTGCTTCCCCAGAGTGAGTTTACTGAGTTTCTTAGAATAATTCTTTTTTTTTTTTTTTTTATTTTTATTTGGGGGGGGGGGGGGGGGGTTTGGTAATTTTAATATAGAATTCCAGGGCTTTGTTTTGGGAATGCTATTTGGGAAAAAAAATGGTGGAAATTTTTATTTTTTTTTTTTTTTTTTTTTTTTAAATTTTAGTTGTAAATGGTGCTGAGACTCAAACCCAGGGCCTCACACATGCTAGTCAAGTGCTCTACACTGAGCCACAATCCCAGCCCCAGGAAATCTATTTCAGTGTGACTCATTCCTAGAAGAAATTTTGGTGGATAAGTTCGTTTCATTATTACAAAGATTCAACCTTACTCATTAGTTGCTGAGGGTCTTGCTCAGTCCCTGAGGCTGGATTTGAACTCGTGTTTCTCCTGTGTCATCCTCTGGAGTCACTGGGATTAGAGGCCTGTACACCACATCTTACTAGTTAAAAATTCTTATGTATCTTTTCCTCCCCCAGGGTGAGAGTACTCACTATGCTTCTCGGATATGTTCTTTAGGGCTTGGGGGGTGGGTTAAAACAGAATTCCAGGACTTTGCTTTGGGAATGCCACCTGGGAAAAGAAATACAATCTTGTTCCAATGTGGTTGCAGAGAATAACAAGCCAGTCCTTGCTTCCCCAGTGCTGAAATATAACACCAGAGAAGCATGCTGAGGCAAGTTTAGAGTGGAAAGTAGAAGCTTTATTAAGGACAGCAGAAAAGACTCCTCCCTGGAGGAAGAAGGGGACCCAAGACTGGAATCTGTGGAAGGGCAATGTCTTCCCCTTTTTATAGCTGAGGTCTTCTTTCAGCTTTCCCTTATTCCTGTCCTTTGTTCTGTTATCTTTCAGTGATAGAATGTAGGTGGGAAGGCCCAAAGGGTGGGGACAGGTGGGCCAAAGGTGTAATCTGGATAGGAAGGACTTTTGGATGAGCATCTCCCTGTTTGCTAGGAGCTGCTTCATTAACATTTCCTTGGGTTGGGCTCTGGTCCTTGGGAACATTAACATTTCAATTTCCCTAGTGGTGCTCTGCTTTCCTGGACTTCATTCTCAACATGGCCTTTACTTTCGATTTTACTCAATGTTAGACCCGTTAGACCCAATTTACCTAACTACACTAACTATCTTTAAATCTGGCTTCAGTTTCATTAGAAAGATTCACCAAAACATCAGCTCCTGTAGTTTGCAGGGGTTTGGCAGTGGATGGGTCTGTTCTGTACCCTGTGAACTGTATTGACCAAAACTAGGCAATTCCTAATAGTAGTCACCTGTGATGAATGAATACCAAATATGTTATCTTGGAAATACTAATTAAATAACATGTTTATTGTCTGATAGAGGATAAGTTTGACTTTCCTGTTGAAGTGTGTCTTAAAATTTTTCCTCCTTAAACATAAACACTTGAGTTTGAGTGATTTTTCTGGGTTCTTTAAACATGAATTGAAAACATGACTGAGAAGCAGAGATCCTTGATCCTTGTGACTGTAATCCAAGGCCAGAATTGGTCCTGCAAAAGGAAGTCACTGAAGGTCCAGTCAGAGCTCTCTGGGCAGCCTCCCCTGCAGAGCCCCAGGCTGCTCACACTAACCTTGGAACGAGCCCTTTAGACTGAGAAGCTGCAGAACTCTGGAAAGCTGGGGGTCCTCAGGCAGATATGGGGAGGGATGGGAATGCTAAGGGGATTCCCTTTCTGAGGGTGCATATTGTCCAAGGCTGTTCCCAGAGGGTACAATGAAACAAAAACAGATTTGGGTGAGAAGCACTTATTCTAAGGAGCACTGCAGGAGAGTGGAGAACCACAGGTGGGTGAGCTCTGCAAGCACCCACAGCTCCTGCAGAAAAGGGCTGCTTTCCTAGGGAGGGGCAAACAGGGTTAGGAAGCTGAAGAAAAAACTGCAGCTCATTGCTTAGGAGGGAACAAAGAGGGGAGGTATTTTTAGGATCAGGGTGTGACTGCCATGGGTTAAAAAAGGGACCTCTAAGTGATAATGAGAAGGGGGTCTCTGCAGGAATTGCTCTAACAGAAAGCAGAGAAGGGGGTTTCTTCATTCATAGATCTTTCCCAGATTCCCTTTGGCACTTTCTTTTTCTTAGATATCTTTTTTCATTTTGGCCAATCCTAAATTGTATCCTTTATAGTAAACTAAACATAAGTGACATGCTTTGCTAAAATCAAATCATTGAACTTGAGGAGGAGGTATTGAGAGTCCTTTGTTTTCCTGCCTCTCCCCCCCCCCCCCAATCTTTCTTGCTGAGGACTGGACTAGGCCCAGGAATGCTCCCTGGGAGGGCCAAAAGTTGAGAAACTGGTGGGCTTAAAGGGGAAGGGCAGGGTGGAGTAGACAAAGACACATTAACAACCTTATAGCTCCCTGTAGGGAAGGGAAATTCCTGGGACAGGTTACTGTTAGGCAAGAAAAGACCACTGACTCCAATTAAAATCAAATTAAAGCAAGCTTATTATTTCGACCGGCCAGGCTGTCTCTCCCTCCCAAAATGGTGGGAAGAAGACAGCACCCCAGCTTTCCTGCAGCCCAGCTTTATAGCCCAGAAAGTTACACAAAGGGGGGGTTACAGATAACAGAACTCTGACAAGCATCACACTAATGGTAGTTAGATTACATTTTTTTGCTGGCCCCAACATCAGAATTTATGAGGACCATTAGAGCCTCAGAGAGGGTCATTGTCTGGCCAGGAAAGGCCAAGATTTGTGAGGCGTCACTAAAGTTTCAGAGAGGGCTGCTGTCTGGTCAGAGAGCCAGGCATGGATGAGTTCAAGGCACGGGCAGGCATTCCAAGCAGGTTCAGAATTTGCAGTAATTTATAGTAAAGCCGAAATTATCTTTTCATGGCTTTGTGGCGAGATGCCCAATTTTAAGAAAAGATCAGGTTGGGTCTATCAGTTACCTAGGCAACAGGTTGGAGTAGGGGCAGGTTCTTGATAAGATCCCTCAGGGGACAGTCTCCAACCTCTCAGACTAACTTAAAATTGGATACCTTGACCCCACCTGATTTACCTATCTACATTGCCTGCCTAATTCTGGCTTCAATGTCAGAATTGAGCTGTTGAACAAGTAGTTTAAGAGAATGTATTGATGTTCAGCAGATTCACACTGTAGGTGTCAGAAGGGGTTTCAGGGAAAAGGCCTTAGTGGCCAGGACCCTCATGTTCCTGCTGGTGGGTACTTGGGTGAAAGTGAGAACTAGAAGTCCTACATAAGGAACATTCCACTCTAGGGAGAGGAGAGCACAGTGACCTTCCAGAACCAAATGTCCTAGCTGCACAGGTTCCCTCATTCCTAGG